TGTGAGGCCTTCCCAGCTCCCAGGCCACAAGTTCCACAGGCAGGGATGATGACTGGTTTGTTCACTGTGCCCCTAGAATATGTAGGTGCTTAAAGAGGAACAAAGTAACGAATGAACCGCCTCTATTTTCTTCTTATGATTTGCACCCGCTACCCTAGGTCCTGGAGCCCTCGTGGCACAGTGGTTAAGCGCTTGACTGCTAACAGAAAGGTCAGTGGTTCAAATCCACCAGCTCCTTCATGGGAGAAAGATGTGTCAGTCTGCTTCTATAAAGATTACTGCTTTGGAAACCCTATGGGGAAGTTCTACTCTGTCCTATAGGGTCTCTATGAGTCAGAATCAACTTAAAGGCAATAGGTTTACCCTAGGTCACTGAGTGGCACAAATGGTTTGCTCTCATCTATTAACCTAAAGGTTGGTGGTTCAAACCCACCCAGCGATGCTGCGGGAGAAAAGCCTGGTGATCTGCTTCAGTAAAGATTACAGTCAAGAAAACCCTGTGGAGTAGTTCCACTCTGTACCACATGAGGTCACCATGAGTTGGAATTGACTCGGCAGCAACAGGTTCTTTTACCCTCTTCCCCAGATCCCTGGGTGGTGCAAGTGGTTTGCACTTGACCAAAAGGTTGGCAGTTTGAACCCACCCAGAGACACAGTGGGAGAAAGGCCTGGTGATCTGCATCCGTAAAGATTGCACACAAGAAAACCCTATGGAACAGTTTTCCTCTTACACGTGGGGTCACCATGAGTCAGAAGTGACTCCATGGCAGTAGGTTTGAAATTCTCCCTGCGGACAAGCACCTTAGATCACTAATAGGTTCCACCCTGTCCCTCACCTCCCAACCTTTCCGATCCAGCGTGCACATGGTTCATTCCCAGTGATATCTGATCATGTCAGGCCTCTTCAATGACTCTCCATAGCCTGGGGGTGAACTCTAAACTCCTTTGCAGGGCACAGAAGCCTCTCTAGATTCAGGCCCTGCCTGCCTGCATCCCTGCCTTCCCCCACCACTGGGCAATCCTCTAGTAGTTGATGTTCCACAGGATACAGTGACCAGCGCTTTGCCCAGCAGTCACACTCTCCCCATCTCCAGCCTTTGCACATGCTGTTTCCTCTGCTAGGACTGCTGTCCCACTCCCCCCTCCTTCCCACCCTTCAGAGCTTGCTGCAAAGCTCTTTCCTCTGGAAAGCCTGTCCTGATCCCCCAGGGGCTCCATGCCCTCTGCCACTCTGCACAGGGCACACCCTCTCCTCCAGTGAGTTACCGCACCCACCTACGTCTACTACATCGCCATCTCTAGCCGGTGTACTCTGAGCTCCATTAGGGAGGAGACTCTTCCTCATCCAACAAACACATGTTTGAAATATCATTTGAAATTAATTCAGGATGGCCTAACCGACCCACCCTTCCAGGCAACAGCTTTGTGATGCTGTGGCAAAAAGGCAGGAAGCAAGGGCCAGAGCCAACTCCCCAGTGGACAATTGAAAGGGGGCAGCAGGTGGCCCAGTATTTGGGACCTAGGATGCTACAGTCAGACACTAGCAGCTGAGTAGCCTTGGGCAAGTCTCCTTGCTCTCTCAGCCTCAGTTTTGTCATCAGTGAAATGGGGTCACAAAATAGTTTATGACTCCAAATGTAGTTTTAAGGACTAAATAAGATTAGGCAGTGTTTCGTATGGTTTTTGCCATGTGACTATTAACTTTTAAAATAGACCCTCCAAGAGAGCAGCAAAAGAAGCCCTCGGGCACCAGAAAAAAAGGAAATAATAAGAATTAGAGCAGAATTAAATGAAATAGAGAATAGAAAAACAATTGAAAGAGTTAACAAGACCAAAATCTGGTTCTTTGAAAAGATCAATAAACTCGATAAACCATTGGCCAAACTGACAAAAGAAAAACAGGAAAGGAAGCAAATAACTCATATAAGAAATGCGATGGGTGATATCACAACAGGCCCAACTGAAATTAAAAGAATCATAACAGAATACTATGAAAAATTATACTCTAACAAATTCAAAAACCTAGAGGAAATGGACAAATTTCTAGAAACTCACTACCTACCTAAACTAACACAAACAGAAGTAGGACAATGAAATAAACCCATAACAAAAGAAGAGATTGAAAAAGTAATTAAAAAATTCCCAATAAAAATGACTCTCCATCTTTATTTTAGGCTCATTCTGAGCACACATATCATTGAATCAATGAGTGTGAGTGAAGTGCTATTGAAGGTCTTTCTGATATAAGTCAAGAATAACCTAGCTATTTAGATAGAAATGATCATCTACACGCATCCAAGACCAGTCATCATTTCATGTGCTGCAAGGACATGCAGGGATACTCTGGGGGCCGCTCAGCGAGTGCAGGGAGGTACTGAGCTCCACCTCTAACGTGCAGGAAGCTCTCTATACGTCTGAATGACCACTGCTGTTATTGCTCAGAAGTGGGACTTTGAGACAGTCACTTCACCTCTCTGGGCCTCAGTGCCTCATCTGTGAAGTGGGTTGTTGCACAAGTTGGCTGAGACCCCGTTGATGAATGAGTTTTGCAAGCTGTAAAGTTTCTACCTGGATAGAAAGGATTGTTCTTCTTTAAGAGAAGGCTTCAGTGCAGGAAGCCAATGGCCTGGCAGGTGGTGGGAGTAGCCAGGAGCAGGAGGAGGTCCCTTTGGCCAGAACCTTCTCAAGCTGTACCTGCTCCAAAGCCTCCATGGTGAGGACACCATATCCTCTTCCCTCAAGAGACCCAAACCCAACCCCAAGCCAATACCTCCACCCCTGGAAGACACTGACTTCCTGGTTCACCTCCTGAAGCCAGGCCACCCCTGGTGACCGCTGTGCAGACAGGGGACCAAGCCGTGGCCAGGGAGCCTAGGTCCTCACCATGCTGGGTCAGAGTGACGGTGAGCTGGGTGCCCAGAGGCCTGTCTGGTTGGAAGGAGAAGTAGTCATTGTCACCAATGACAAAGATTCTGCGGGAGATGACACATCTTCTGGATACACAGGGTGGAGAAGGGCAGTCTGACCAGGGCTTGTTGTCACTGAGATTGCAGGGCACTGGTTCTGGAGGGTCACTGCCAGGAGACGACACACATTAGCCCAGAGTGAATCAGAATCACTGTTCAACAAATGCTTACAGAGAGGTTCCTATGTGCCAGACTGTCCAGGGGCAGGGGCCAGGCAGTAAGCAAAACACGCACTAGCCCCAGCCTGTGGAGCTGACATCCTGGCAGAAGGAGACACACTTTAAATATGAAAGATGTAGTATGTCAAATGGAGAAAACTTTATGTAGACAAGTAAAGCAGAGGGAGAGGGGATGAGGACGCTGGAAGGGCTGGGGCAGGGGATGCACTTTGAAAGAGTTGGGGCATTTGGACAGAAACTTGGAGGAGATGAGGGGGGGAGCCATGTAAATTCTGGGTAAAGGGCAGTTCAGGAAGAGCTAACAACAAGTGCAAAGGCCCTGGGGCAGGCACAGCCTGGAATGCAATGGGAATAGACAGCCAGTGTGTGTGAGGCAGAGTATGTGGGTTTGGGGAGCTTCCCTTCTGGGGGTGTCGTTGTCTCTGTGCAGTAGGGAACAGGCCACAGGCTGAGGGTGGGGATAGGGGTGAGGGGTCTGAGGAAGGTGGGGAGGTGAGCTGGACGTCTCTCTACTCTACTTGCCCTCCCGGGTCACTCACTTGTCCATTCGGTGGTAGAGGGTCACATTGATGAGCCGCTGGGTAGCCTCGGTGTCCGCCCACCTGCACTCAATGCGGCTGGTGTAGTCATTATAGCAGCGCAGGCTCTGCAGGGGGATGGCCTCTGACCGGGGAGAGATAGGAGTGGTCAGCCCTCTCTCCCTCCATGTGGCCCTCGTCACCTCCCCCTCCCAGCTCCCCTGCTGCCTGTGTGGGGGAGGAGTCTCCCCCATCCTGCCTGGGCCCCCAGATGCCAAGCAGAGGTGGGAGGCCCTGGCAGGGGGCTTAGGGATGAGCCTCCTGGCTGTCAGTCACTCCAGTTGATTGACAGCACATTTCCTGAGCCCTGCTGTGGGCCCCCTAGTGTGGTCCCAGGATGGGGACATGCATCGGACTCCACGGTGTGGCCTTGGAGGAGAGCCCCAAGGCCACCCCTAGGTGCAACATGGCAGAGCCCAAACCCTGAGACCTCTCCATCCTGGCCCATGTGGGTAGTTGTGGGTGCACTTTTGGGTGAGGGTTCATTCTGCTCCAAGAGGCACCAGCAGGGCCTCTGAGCACCAGGAGGAGGTTGCTGGGGACAGAGCCTGGAATAGAATCCAGGCAGAGTGCCCGGCAGGAGCAAAGGCGTGTAGGTGGGAAACGTGGGAGGCTGCTCAGAGGAGCGGAGTGTCTGGTGCGGAAGGAGGGACAGAGAAACGTCTGGAGCGGCCCACCTGGAGGTCAGAGCCTCGAAAGCCGCACTGAGAGCTGAGGGCAGAAAAGTCTCAGGTGGCCTTAACAAGAGACCAGACAAAGGATAGCAGCAATGTGCCGGCAGAGGGAGGAGAGGGAAGGCGGCCAGGGAGGAACAGGGAGAGAAGGAAAGGAGGCAAGGGGGCTGGGAGGGAGGACAAGAGCCACTGGTGGTGACTCTGGGGGCTTCCTCGGGAACACAGTGGAGGGGTGGCCTCACCCACAGGTCCCAGCAGTGAGGAGGGGGAGGGGATGCAGTGGAGGGGTGACCTCACCCACAGGGCCCAGCAGTGAGGAGGAGGCAATTGTCAGGGGATTCAGTGGAGGAGTGGCCTCACCCACATGGCCCAACAGTGAGAAAGGAGCCAGGGAAAAGGAGGGAGTAAAGGACTCACCTTGGGCCCCTGTCATGCTGGGTCTCCAGTACAGAGCCAGCAGGATGATGGGGAGCAGCCCCTGGGTCAGCACCATCTCCCTGGTGAGCTGTGAATGAGCAGGTGGCTGGCACAGGTGGGCCCAGGTTGTGGGCAGGGCCAGGAGTCCTCACTGTGTAGGAAGCTTGTCTTCCTCTCTGAGTGGGGGTCAGGCCAGGTCCATGTCACTGGCTCTTGTGGTTTCTCCCTCCTGGACTCTGACTCCTCCAGGGCCTGTGGAAGGAGCTGTCAGCCAGGAGCTGCCCTCCCCTCCTGTAGCCCTGGGAATGCAGCGGTGATGGGGAAACCCTGGGGATACAGAGTCCTGGGCTCCAGGTCCTGTTGCTGTCCCAGCCTGGCATGCTGGGGCAGTCCCTTCCCCTTGGGCCTCAGTCTCCTCATGCGTAACCAGGGGTGACACAGGCGCAATGGCTTCTGAGTCAGGGGTTCCCCACCAGCTCATGGAGACCCCTGGAGGCAGCCTGGCTTTGATTAATTTCCCCAAGGCCTGTGGCCTGCATCTGCTTTGGGGAGTCACTGGATATGGGGTGCCAAGTGTGATATCACACACACGCACACAGACGTGAACACTCAGCGCCTGGTGCTCACCCTGCCCCTTCCATTTATGGTCATCCCTCCCTCCCCACTTTCTGAAAACCAGTTCCCTTTTCTCCGCACTCAGCTGGGGATTTCTTCATTTTCCTTAGGCCCTGGAAAGTACCCAGGAGAGTGGAACAGAGGACTGTGGCTTGTTTTTGCCCAGTAAGATTGTCTAAACTCACTCAGGATGCACACTTGCTAGGGTAAATGTGATCTGGGCTCAGCCACCCTGAGCTCCAACCCTGCCTCACTGGTGGTCTGAGCTAAATCACCAATGCTCCCCGCACCTCACTCTCTGCATCTGTAAATGGGCACATGTATTTCACGTGGTTGTCATGGGAACTAAATGTGATGCTGTGGTTGGTCCAGCAAATGCTCAGGAAAGAAGAGGCTTGTTCAGAGCTGGGAGAGAGAATTTGTCCACTTAAGCATCTGAAGACTGGGGACAATAGTCATGGGCAGGTGTATGAGAGCCTGTGTGGGCTGGTCTGCATGCCTGTGTCTAGTCTAAGAATTCCAGAACTTCCGTTTGGGTCTCATCATGAATAGAAATACCACATGTAGAAAGAGAGCAGTTCATTCCAAAATAAGTTAGAGGTTTAACACAATTCCAGTCAAAAGCTAACAAGATGGTTTTGCAGGAACTTAGGAGAAAAATACACATGAGGAAAGTTAATGAGATTTTTAAAAATAAGTAGGCTCGACCCAATAACAAAAGATCTGGTAAGTAAGGTGGTGTGTTGCTGTCATACACACACACACACACACACACACACACACACACACACACACACACAAGATAGGTAGATGTCTTAGACTGAGTTCTCTAGAGAAGGAAAACCAGTGAAGCGTATACAGTCGTCCTTCAGTATCCATGGGAGATTGGTTCCAGGACCACGTGGATAGCAAAATCTTGGGATGCTTAATTCCCTTATATAAAATGGCATAGTATTTGCATATAACCTATACACATTCTCCCATATACTTTAAATCATCTCTAGATTACTTATAATACCTAATACAATGTAAATGCTATGTAAATAGTTGTTATACTGTATTGTTTAGGGAATAACAACAAGAAAAAAAGTCTGTTTTTCTTTCCCCAAATATTTTTGATCCCAGTTGGTTGAATCCGTGGATAGTGGAGAGCAAACTGTACATATAAATATATATAGAGAGAAATTGATTTCAAGGAAATGGCTCACACAGTTGTGGAGGCTGGCGAATCCCAAATCTGTGGGTCAGGAGTCAGGCTGGAGGCTTCTCCTGACTCATGTGGTTGCAGGGGGTGACGAACCCACAATTGGCAGGTCAGACAGCACGCTGCTGGCTCCCGTACCAAGAACCGGAGGTCAGAGGATGACAAGTTGGATGCAGGGTCAAGAGAGGGCGAGTTTTGCCAGAACATCCATATGTATCGGATGTAGGTCACATCCTCAAGGAAACTCCCCTTTCAACTGATTGGCTGCTCATAGATCACAAAACGGAGGATGATTATATAATATCTGCCAAACCACTGAGAATCATGGCCTAGCCAAGTTGACACATAATCTTGATCATAGTAGATTTATATTCTACCCGATAACTTACCATATGTTGAAGGAAGAATCATGAATTAATGTGGAATGATGGAATGTTGAATAAAAAGTAAAATAACCAAATCACAACAGAAGACGTATCAGCTTAAATCCCTATCTCACACCATTTCCAAGGTTAGAAAAAATTAACGTAAAAAGTTAAGACATGTTAAACTTCCAAACGATAGAAGTGAATATCTTTGAATAATTTAAGCTTAAAAACAGCAGAAGAAATAAGAGAGATAAAGTCTGGCAGAAGTAACTATATAAAAGCATAAAAAAAAATCTTCTTTATTTTACGACAATAATCAAAAGATGAAGCAAAGGACAAACTGTAAAAACATATTGCACTGAAATTATGGATATCAGCTTAATACACTGTAAAAGATTAATACAAATTAGTAAGTCACCAAATAACACAAGCAGAAAATTTACACACAGAGAGAATTCATGTTAGTGACTGAGATTTATTGAATACTTACCGTGAGTCAGGTACTGTTCAAAGGGCTTTACAAGTATTAACGCATATACGTGCAGGTTACTATTGGAATCCCCATTTTAAGAGGAGGAAACAGGTATAGGAACATTAAGTAACTTGTCCAGGATCACACAGCTAGTAAGGGACAGGTTGGGATTGAAACTCACAGCAGGTTGGCTCCAGAGTCTGTGCCCTTAACCGCTACACCAATAGAAGTCGTATTTCCCAAGCATCAGTATCATACCCGTCTATTCTGATATATACTGACCCACAGACACTCCTGCAGGCATGAACAGACACAGAAGAAACAACAGAAGACTTTAAAACAACTAAATTAGCATCCGCAGGGAGACCTGAGAAATCACAGTCATTTAAAAGAACAGACTATTATGCAAACCAAACCAAAACAGAGTTCTTGAACTTTGAAGTATGAGATCTTTAATTTAAATTTTTTTTTATTTTTTTAAATTAAAAAAGAATCTCAATAATGGTGCAAATTGCTGAATGAACACTACAAATTATCATGTTCTAGAGGCAGACGTTGAAGACAAGGGATTCTTCCAGAATTCAGAATAAATGGAGAAAAAGTGGGAAAGTTGAAGAGAAAAATTGAGACCTAGTGACGAGATCCCAATGTTCCCACACCCAGAAACAGAAGGCAGAGAGAATCGAGAGCAGGTATGGCAGAGGTGTAGCTACCTACTTGTCCCCTTCCTTCTTGGTAACAGAAGCCCAGCTTTTGGCTTCTAAATATAAAAGACTATATTTCCTACAGTACCTTGCCTCTAGGTGTAGGGCCATGTGACTAAATGTTGTCCAAGAAGATGCGCGTGGAAGCATTGGGTGTACCTTCCAAAAAGGCTAAAGGGAAGGGATCCTGTCTGTCTTTCCTCTTTCTTCCAGCCTGCAACTTGGACATGATGGTTGGAGCGCCAGCAGGCGTCTTAGACCATTAGCTTACACTGAGGCTGGAAGCTATATACAAAAATGATGAAACAGAAGGAGAGCAGCCTGGGTTCCTCTTGTTGCTAGAGCAACTACACCAGCCTGAGGTTGCCTGCCTCTGGATATCTTTTATGTGAGGGAGAAGGAAACTGCTATGTTGTTTGAGCTACTGTTGTTTGGAGATCTTCCACGTGCAACCAAATAACTACAATTAGAGATAATAGAAGAAAACTTCACAGGGCTCGAAAGTAGACAATAGTCCACTAAATGAAGAACAGGAGTCATTTTTTTAAGGGCCATACCCGGTCATACACTGGTGAAATTTCTGTCTTCCAAGAATAAAAGGGAAATACTAGAAGCTTCCAGAGGAAAACTAAAAAGCAACAAACAGGTTATCTTAAATGGAAAAAAGGTTGAGTTGGCATGGTTTTCTCATGAGTGACCTTGAACTCTAAATAGATAGCCATGTCTTCAGAATATTGAGAGAAAATATGTTTAAACTTAGAATCATAGAAAAAACAAGTTCTTTGAAGTTCAAGGGCAAAGAGAAAAAGAAGAAAAAAACCACAAACAAAAAAGCCCCCACAAAACCACACATTTTAAATATGTAACTACAAAGTAAGTTTTTCAGCTCTTATCTGAAAAAATATTACTGTAGGTTGCATTTCAGGAAAGAAAAAAATCCAAGAAAGAAAGATGGCATGCAATACTAGAATCAGTGTTGAGTGAATAAACCAATAAGACTTGCAGTTAAGTAAAGAAGAATTGTTACTGCATAAAGTAAAAATATATAAATACATAGTAAAAATATAGAACTAAAACCCGGATGATTTTAATGTGGGAGTAGGCATGGAAAGCAGAAGAGATCTGAAAGTCTGCTAAGGACCTAGTCTTGTTTAGGAAGAGCATATGCTGAAAAAGGTAAGTTTAAATATGTATATTAAAAATACAAGGGTGAAAAATTATTAAGAGTGAGGGGTGAGCATGGCAAAAGAAGAATGAAAGAGAGAGAGTGTGTATGAAAGAGAGAGAGAGGCGGAAGAGGAGAGAAGAAGGAGGGAGCAAATACTTCCTCATTCAAATAAAAGTACACACCAAAATCCCCAAGCTCATGAAAAAATTTAATGGTAGGAGTAAAAAAGATGAAAATGTAAAAAGCATAACAAAAGGTCACTCCAGACAAAAGCAATTTCATAGAACAACCTGACAAAGACTTTTAAAAGAAGAATGCATCACGACCAGTTAGGGATTACTCCAGAAATGCAAGAAGAGCCTTTAGGAAATCTATGCATGTAATTGGGAACATTAACAGATTTAAAAAAAAAAAAAAAAGAACAAGTTTATCTTGGCAGATGTCCCCCAAATATTTGATAATATACAAGTCATCCCTGACTAAACAAACAAATAAACCTCTTGGCAAATGAAGAGTTGGAGGAAACCTTCACATTTCTGGGTCTACCAGAAGTCCGTGGCAAACGTCAGCATCATATGAAACCATCAGTGTCTCTCTATCAAAGACACAGACAGGAGAAGGCTGCCTGTTATTGTCATTATCTCCAGGGGCCAATTATCCCCTAAATAATCTCTGAATTTAATGCAATCTAAATCAAAATTCCAAAAGGACTGGACAAACTGATTCTAAAATTAAAACAAAGACGGCAAATTTGCTCTATTAGCTAGAAAATTAATTGACCCTGTGTGGTCCAGGAATATAGCTGTATATGGATGGAACAGAAAACATTAAAGACAAATAATCAAGTATATGTAGGAGTTTAGGAAATATTAATGGCATTTCAAATCATTGAGGAAAAGGCTGGACTACGTACACAATTAGATAATAATTTAGGGAAAAATGTTAGATTATAACTTTATATATTACCCATTCCTCCAAATTCTAGATGGATTAAAGATCTAAAAGTCGAAACTAAAATGATAAAATCATTAAAAATATTTCTGTAATCTCAGAGGGTGAGCAAGACACTAAAGCCAGAAACCGTAATGGAAAAAATGACAAATTTAAAAATAATATGATGCAAAACATCTTAAACATGGTAAAGCAAAAAAAAACCACAAATGGTCATCTGTGTGAATATATTTTCAACATATGTTGAATTATTATACATGCAAATTATTAATATAGTATAATAAAGGAAATACTCCTAGGGTTAATATGTAAAAGACAAAGAACTCATCAGAAAATGGACAAAGGCCATTCCCACGCACATCGTAAAAGAAATCGAAATGGCTAACAAGCCTATCGAAGATGCACAGCCTCACCCATAATCAGGGAAAGGAAAAAAGTCAAACATTAGTGAGATAATTTTCTCCTACTACATTGGACACAAGTAAAAGATGGATAATTTCCTGAACGAGAAATTGGCCTTTTATATACTACTGGAAGTATAGATTAGTTCAGCCACTTTAAGGAGAATTCAACAATCTCTATTAGAATTTTAAATGCACAACGCTTTGCCCAGCAATTCTGCTTCTAGGAATCTCGGCTACAGAAATGCTTTCACAGGTGTGGAAAAACTGGAAATGACCTAAGTGCCCATCAGCAGGAAGTTAGGGAGATTGTTGTGCACCTATATTAATAAATGCCGCACAGTTCTCAGGGTTAATTAAAGAGTTAAATCTATATGCATTATTGTGGAAAGTTGTCCAAAATGTAATCTTGAATGAAGAAATAAGTCACAGAACAATAAAAACAAAACAGAAACAAATCCCAAACCTGTTGTTGTTGAGTCGATTCTGACTCTTAGCGACCCATTGTGTTTCAGGGTAGAAATGAGCTCCACAGGATTCTCTTGGCTGCAGTTTTTACAGAAGTAGATTGCCAGGCCTTTCTTCCTTGGTGCCGCTAGATGGGTTCAAAATACTAATCTTTTGATTAGTAGCCAAGCACAAACTGTTTGTACCACAGAACAATACGCATGCTATAATCCCATTTATGTAAAAAGAAAAACTATATCATGCTTAGAAAAAGTTTTGGAATGGTACATATGGTGAAGAGTGTTGAATGTGGGACTAGCGGGTGGAGATGATTGGGGACTTTTGTCTTATAATACTATATTACTACATAGTTCTAGATTGTTTGAATTTTTTAATAAAGCAGGTATCCATACATTTATTTGTATAATTTTAAATGCATTCAGTAAACAACTCATAAACTATCCTGTAGTATAGTACAACATAAACAAAAATATATGAAGGAAAAAAAGCAACCACAAGCTAATAGAAAATGTTATAGTCATTATAAAGATACTAGAAAGCAGGAAAGATGATGGCAAGGAGAGAAAATTGGAAACTGGTTATGAAAAAATAAAACAAACTGCAGCATTTGGAAACTAAAAATTGCACACGTGTGACTTGTCATTAGAACCCGTCTGGTGCGGCCTCAAGGCTCATACACCAACGCGGACCCATAGACACAACTGCCCTCTGTCTCAGGGCAAATGCACACACCTGCCCACACCCTGATGCAGACACCCCCAGACGCCCTCCCATCCAACACACTTGGGTGCACAACACACACCTGGACCCCAACCCAAATAAGCAACAGCTAGGTACGGTTCAGGGCAGAGTGTGGTAGGAAAGGAACATTCT